TGGATGGGACATAAATTGCTCTATTTGAATATCAGGAATTTCTGCATCACCTACCCCCTCTGAAATGGAATCTTATCTTTCAAAGAATGCTGCTTGCAGTTCTTCAGACTGTTTTTTTTGTTTGTTTTGTTTGTTTGTTTGAAACCTTCATTTTCCTGGAATAGGATATACGCAAATACTGCTGTAAGAACATTTGGGTCATAAATTTCCCTGAAGAAATGTAATGTTTTTCCATTTAATTTGATAACTTCTCATGGGCCGCTGGGATTAAGAGATGTTTCATTGTCCTATGCATTTTTTGACATGTAGCTAATGCAACATGTGTTACTACAGGGATTTTTTACAGAAAAGTGACCTTCTGCTAGGGAAAAAATGTAACAACTCAATTAAAAGAAATAGTGAAGGTTACAACACTTTCCCTACCCAGGTGAAAAATCAAGCGGTGGAAAATGTAAGCTGTATTTACTTTAACATATGGTAATTTGAGTATTATGTGGAAAACTCATTGATATGGTAGAATTCCATTTTAGGATGCCTCTGGAGAAAGAAGTGATGGAGTTATTAAAATTTGTAAGAAAATATATTAATCAGTCTTGTGTTAGAGCATTGAGTCTGAAGGAAAGAATGCTCTCTGCGTAGAAGCAAACAGCACTGGGAATCATGGTCCCTAGTCTGTCACTGCTTCTTGTCTGATTTTAGAGGAGTTACTTATGTCTTAACTGAGCAGCCTAGAAACAGCTAAACACCAGAAGCATCGTGGGACTTTTCATATGCAAATGTTAGGTATTAGAGTGCTGTCAGTATCCCTTGCCCACAGAGCAAGTAGACCTAGCCTGAAGCTATACCACTGCTCCCTTTAGCAAGCTACTCCACATAATCCCTTTCACAGCTGCCAAGTTCAATGATCACTCCTTGGGGAGACTTTTTGGGGCACCTAGCATTGCAGGGGTTATCAGGCAAGTGACCTCCCTGAGTGTAGTGATTGTAAATATTCCCGGCTTTCTACAATAAATTAATAAGAAAGATCCTTTCTCTCTTACATATTCATGCCAGGATCAAACACAAGCTGACCTTTATTTCTAAGCCTCATGTTTTTTTTTTCTGTTGCAAAAGTGACTTAGAATTGTAGAATCATAAAATCAACAGAGTTGGAAAAGACCTCTGAGATCATCAAGTCCAACCCTTGATCCAACACTGCCACGGTTATTAGACCATGGCACTAAGTGCCACATCCAGTCTCATCTTAAAAACCTCCAGGGACAGTGAATCTACCACCTCCCCGGGCAGCCCATTCCAATGTCTAATTACTCTTTCCATAAAAAATTGCTTCCTAATATCCAACCTAAACCTCCCCTGAAGTAAGTAAACCTGCTGTTTACTTACTTCAGAATAATAACAGTGAGACACAACTCATTTGTGTGCGTAAATTACTTGGTGATGCTGGGATGAGAGATGCTACAGAAGTGAGTAGAATGTCTTTTTCATTAGAATTATATAAGTGTCATTAAGAGAGTTTTCTGGAAACAGTGATGGTAAACCCTTCTTCCCAAATTCTCATGAATATGCTCCTTTCAAAATTTGCTTTCAGGAACACATTTTTTCCAAAACTTGGGATATCTCTTGAACAGAAAATTCAAATGTGATCTATTTGACAAACATCTAAGTTAGGAAATTGTTAGGTTTTTACAGTCATAACTCCAAGGTCTTTCACTCATATCTCATGAATTTACAAAACTATATAGGAAGACTCTAAAAGAGAAAACATCTTCTTTTTCTCTCTCTAAAATACAGTTTTAATTTTAAAAACATCTGGAAATTTTGACCACAGATGAATGGTTTCTGGAAGTACTGATTTACAGAAAAATTAATACCTTATTCAACTACCTCCTTTCTAAGCAGTCCTAGCTGTTGTCAGCTGACCAGCCAGCTATGAAAATAATAGGGTTCTGTAGATTTACTGGTGTATGTAAAAGTTGAGGCTTCAGGTAATTCTACATCTCTGTCAGCTGTTCCATGAATGGTGACAAGTACAAGCCTGCCAGAGGATTTTCTTGATAAATGGAATAGTTAAAGACTTGAGTCACATTCATAGTAGAATTATATCACTGTTTTTTTCTTGACAGTCTTCTTTTTCAGATGTTTGGAAGGGCTATTTCTTAAATCAGAGAAACATGTTCTTCCCTTTCTTCCTGTATTTCCCCTCTCCCCAGAGATGGCAATCTGGGGCTTTAGTGAAGGTGCATGAAGCTACTCTTCAAGATACTGCAAATTCTGCCTCTTTTTTTATAGGAACCTGGAGCAAATCTGTGCAGTTATTAGACCTTAAGACAATATAAAACTCAAGACTTATTAGACTCAAGCACAGAACACCAGTAAAATAATTTAATGAGTTTTCCTAGTAACAACTTTTGTGCTTTCCAAAGACTTGAAGCTAAGCTTATACATCACTAACCACATATTACAGGTACATACAGGTATTATACACATAAGGGAAGAAGAAAACAGAATTTGCACTGTCTGATGGCAGGATGCTGATTTAAACATTTTCCCTTTAGAATGATAAAAAGTGAAGAAATCGAGAACAGGCTGTTTGAAGTACAGCAGTTGCAGGAAATATGATGGTTATTATGTAAAAAACCTTTAATACAAAATAGCTGTTCTACCAGAGAATGTGATGGGTTAGTCAAAAAGCAGCTTGCCAATGGAAAGAGTTTAGGGATAATTCTGTAATTACTGTACTGACTTAATTTTGTGTTCCTATTGAGGGAGAAATTCACATATTAATTTTACAGGATTTCTGTAAAGGGGAAACCGACTTTTAGGAAGCAGCAGATTCTACTGTAAACTGTGTAAGAAACTTCTGAAATTCTGAAACTTTGCTTTCCATTTGAATGAATTCCAGAAAACCATAAGTACTAAGACTAGAATGAAACAAACATAAAAACTATATAAAACAAATGTTCATTAAATAAATGTGCAATTCAGAAGAGAGGATGAGTTTCTCTTTGTTACTAAACTCACAACATCCAATACTTTTTGAACACTTTTTTTGAGTCACTTTTTGAGCTGTGACTGGTAGAACATTTAAGTCACAGAAAGGCCTATTTTCTGGGGCTCTGAAAATTTCAAGCAATAGTTTTTGGGAAAGAAAGGGTAGAGTGAATGGAAATACATCGAATGAACTGCTTTGTACTTTATAGCAAAAGTTGACTTTACAGTCAACATAGTTTTTACCAACGTCTCACATCTGTTTTTACAGATGATATTTCAATTTCTGCCACTAAAAATTTATAATCTAAGGTTTAGATTATAGGACACAAGGAAGAGGTTGAATTCATGCATATGCCAGGTCACAGCAAAGTCAGTGGATCTCAATCACAGGCTTAAAGTTCTGTTTAACGATATTCTGAGTAAACTGCTACGTACTTTCTTGAACTGGTACATCTATTCAGTGAACAGTTGTATCATGATTACTTTTAAACTTGAGCTGAGTTCAAAAGAATTATAGTCACTGCCAACTCACCTTTATTCACTGTTATAGTCACCTTTATTAACTGTTACTGTCACTATTTAGCTAAGTGAACAGCATGGCTGATCTGATTACAATAGCAGAGACCACCTTTCATAACATAGAAGAGTCAGAAGCTCTGAAAATGCCCACCTCAGCTGATTAGAAGTACTATTTAAATTCAAAGGGAAATTAGAAATAGCTGCCACTTTATTACAAAAGGGCTCTGTCCCTTGTTAAAGCAATTAAGACTATCTCCTGTGGCTCAATAGGAGCTATTTTGATTTGCACTAATTGCAGATTAGACAAACTGGGATTAAGCAACATGAAATAAATTCCTTGTAGAAAGAAGGAAACACACTTTCACCCAATTGGAACTTGGTGTTTTATTCTTATCCAGAGGGAAAAATTTAGATTCATTTTGAAGGGGCCTTCTGGTGGTTTCTAAGTGCTGAAAATGGCTTTTTGTTTTAAAATTAGATGTGTGCATGTAGATCATATTGCATCTGCATAAAAGATAGATTATTTGGGGTCCAGAAGCAAATTCTTCTCTTTCAACATTAGCAAATTCTATCATTGCCTTTTTTTTGTGCATCAGTATTTAGAGCTGGCTCCTTGGTGTCCATGAGTAGCTCCTGCAGCAAAAGGAAGCACACATGCTTTTCCCAGTGCTGGAGTGCAGGGAGGCTGCTTGCTGCACTCATATAACCCCACTGCTGTAATGTGCTGCTGGGGGCTGTAATAACAACCACCCAAAGCACAGCGGGCCTGTTGCTGCTTCCATTTATGGCAGGGTCGAGGGAGAACAAAGGAGACATAAAACATGTTTCTCCCTAATTCAGCAGCTTCAATTTCACTAAGCAGAATTCAGGTACAGCTGAGGATTTCCGCACCTTTCCCTGGAAAGTTTGCCCCTGGGCCATTAAAAATGGTTTAAATAATAAAATTAATTCACCTGTTGATATCGTATACCCTCTTTCTCAGATCAGCAATTTTATTAACAGATAATGCTGATAAAGATTTATTTTTATGAGATTTTTTATGGTTTTTAAATATCATATGCAAGTTTTCAGCTCTTTGGCTCCTTGCAGTGATGATTAGGATGGTCCCTCTTTTTTCTTTCTTTTCCTTGTTTCTGAAGCAACCATGAAATAAAATAGAAAAGCACACAGAGCTGAAAAAATAAGCTCTTAAGAAATAATTCTGACGTGCAATTTTGGAAACTCTTTTCAGGTCAGTGTCAGTTTTATAATTGATGTTACTAGTTCTATTCTTCTTTGTATGTTTTCCCCAAATAAACAATCCAAATATATTTCAAGTGCTCTTCCCACATAAGGCAACCTGAAAATATGTCAAGCAGCTTGATTTGGAAGTTTTTCCAGAATGTAGTGAGCGTACATATTTTCCTGAATGATACACATTTCTTGAAACCTACTATCTCACATAAACCCTGTTCAGGTGCCAAGAATAGTGATGAGAAGCATATACTTACATTTCAGCTCCAGTTTGATGAAGTCAGTGTTACCCAGATTCTCAAGGAACACCCCATCCGAGGCTGATGTTTTGAAATAGAAAGAGATGTCTGCGCTGGTTTCCCCTTGGAAGGTGGAGAAGTGGAGGTAAGATGATGAAGTAACGAAAGAAGCTGCGTTCCAGTAATTCCCTGCATGGGATAGACAGGAAAGACACATATTTCAGTGCTCCCTTGAAGCTGTCTGAAAAGTTGAAGCTTTTAATGTCAATATATGCTACAGCGTTGTTTATGCTGAAAAAAACCCCTTCAAGTGTATTGATTCTACTACCTCCTTTTTGTTTTTCTGGGTGCAGTGCATCAGATTTCAGAAGGCAGAGCATGTTTATTGTACATTTATTTTCAAGCTCCTAATTTATCATATCCAGTCATACTCAAATATGTTGTTACTACATGTTTAGTATAGTAACATTCAAGTAACATTCATGGGAGAACAGACAGATGGACAAAACACTAATTTGATGTCTGCCTCACCTCTGGCACGTTTTGGTTTCATGCATTGCTTCATGTGTGACTTATCCATCTTCAAATTTATTCTACACAGCTACACAGCTATACCCCCTTCTTCTGAAAACATAGCCATGTCTATTAGAAGTGTATTAATATGCACCAAAGAAAAAAATCCAAGAAATGAAGCTAAGCAATACAAACACAATTAGCATGTGCTCCTAATTGCCCCCTAGTACATTTCCATTGTAGAAATGTAATAATTAATAATATCCAAGACCTATTACTGTACTTTAGCTAGCCTGATAGTCAAATTCTGTGCAAGGTAGCATTACCATGCAAACACAAAAAATTCACAAGATATAAGAGAAGATAAGATTCTCTTAAAATTCATAAGAGAAGGCTTCAGAGTGACCTAATTGTGGCCTTCCAGTACCTGAAGGGAGCCTACAAGAAATATGGAGAGAAACTATTTACAGAACCATCTAGTGATGTGACAAGGGGGAGTGGTTTCAAACTGAAAGAGGGTTTATATGAGATATTAGGAAGAAATTCTTTACTGTAAGGGTGGTGAGGCACTGGAACAGGCTGCCCAGAGAAGTTGTGGATTCCCCATCCCTGGAAGTGTTTAAGGCCAAGCTGGATGTTGCTCTAAGCAACCTGTTCTAGTGAAGTGTCCCTGTCCACGGCAGGAATGTTGGAACTAAATGATCTTTAAGGTCTCTTTCTACCCAGGCCATTCTATGATGATTCCATGATGATGATATCAGTGATATGGTAAGCCAAAGAGAGACTAAACCAGCTAGTTCTAGTTTAATCAGAATGCTTATGTATCCAGATTCAGAAATTTATTAGAATATCCTCATTATGTAGCCACAGCTGAGCCTTTAGTATGCCAGCTAATAAACACAATAATAAACTACTTTCCATTCCAGTCAAAACTCCCAGAGATTGGTTTTCCATTATTTGATTATTGAAGTACCTGATAATGCTATTATTTATCTGGTTAGCACTGGATGAATATGAATGAGGATGCTGAACCTCAGCACTGCTTATATATAACAGCACTGGCCCACAGCCAAGTCAGAAGTATTATTATTTGTGTAATTCATTAATTTTTATTCAAATTTAAATTGAACATCTGAATTAACAGAAAGCTTTATGTTTAAATACATGCAAACAATTGCCTTCCATAGTACTATCCCATCTCTTCCATTTAATTCTGCCTCTCTCAAGGATGCAGAATGAGAGTTTTTGGGAAAAGAAGCAGCTTTCTGTTTACTCCAATGCATCAGAGGAGGAAAGCTGTAACTGAGATTTTGTGTGTATGTGTATAAATGTGCATGTGAGCGGTGAAAATGGGAAGAAATGGACACTCATAAGATAGCTTTGTGAATTAACTGGTTGAGCTAGGTCAGCTAGCTTCAACATGTATTACTATTTACTCTACTTACACAAACTAGTAATTTCAAGATTGAATATTATTAATTATTTCCATAGAAATGTTAACAATCTTCATATCATAGGCATGCTTGGGCAAGAAATATCTGATAATTAATTGCAAAGTCTTTCTCTGGAAACATACCTAGTGATAAAGCAGCACAGATAAAAAAGGTCTGGAATTTTATTTTCATTCATAGTCTCAAGTCTCTTTCTATCTCTCTCTTTTCAAAATGCTTCCTCAATATTAGGGTTGCTTATGATCTAGGTGCATGAGTGCTTTGTCAATAGTCTCTTAGTACAGGGTCCAGATGGACTTAGTATATATGCTTTTCCACTTGCAGATGTACCTGGACATCTATATTTTTCCCCTGGGAGCTACAGATATGCTAGATCTTGGCAAACTCTCAAAACAGGTTTCATTCCACTTGCTGAATAAACTCACATGAAATAAGTGGGACTTTGACAAAAAGTCAGGCATATATTAATACAGTCCTTGTTAAGCAGCTAATTTAGTTGCCCTGAATAACCTTGTAGAAATGCTTGCATGTCTTTATAACTTAAACAAGTATTTCAGATCCCTAGGTTTACATTCTGAATAATACCAAACTTATAAGCCTAAAATACAAAGAACATTCGACAAGCAAAATTGCTGTGAGAGAGAGCTACAGAATTCAAGTACTACTGGAGACAAATCTCTCCTCAGTGAGAAAGGCTCCCTAGCCACCTCACTACAGCAAAGGAGACCAGGCTGACTGTGCAGCTGCGTCGCTGTCCAACCAAATAGCATGACTGCAACGGGCTCTTCTCTCAGGTTTCTCCCCTGGCCAGGGATGCTGGTTAAAGACGAGCCTTCTGCCAGCATGACCCAGCCTTCAGTCACTGCATTCCATGTTCTCACCATACTTGCATCTCCTGTGCGCCTTACATGCATGAAGAGCCACAAGTTAGACGGATATCTTAATTAATCACTTCCACTGATGCATTGACAATGGCTGCGTTGAAAGGAGCATATTTTTGTCATGTTTTATTTTGTCATGTTGTGGTGCAATGAAATCCTAGTCCCTTAACTGGAGCTTCCCCTACAATACAGTATATTATTATAATTAATATTGCAATAAAGTAAATAAGAATAGGAGCTGGTATATGAAATAGCTATGTATTTAGTAGTATTTTTTTTATATCTTTTTAATTATCTTGCAAACTTGAAAGCACTAAATGCAATTTAACATAGACTCAGTCTCCAATGCTGGGACACCCTGTGTTAAATCCTTAATTATGACAGTGCATAACTAAAGACCAGGTTTGCCTTTAAAGGGAATTGATTTCCAGTAGTATGTGACTATTCCTTTTTATAGTCAGAGATTTCAGTCTTTAGTATTGGTTGTGGGTTCACCCAACAGGCCCCGGCCATATGGCTAAGATTTCAAACCTTTGCCACAATATGCTTACAAGAAGGGCTACAGCTACCAGTACACCTGCAGGGCCAGGTAGGTAGGTGGGTTCATATGGAAGTGTGTGTCACCTTTTTACTGAAACAAAATGAATCAATTTTTACTTAGTGCTGCACCCAGCCTACTGAAGAGTTTCATCAGTAAAGATTTTATATTTCATTCAAAATGCTGTGATTTGGCTCTGCAGAAAGCCTTGGCTGCAGATGTTACTGGTGAGAGTATGAATACAAATAATGCAGACAGAATAGCAGAACCTGCATCTTTAGAGAGATGTTTTCATGGGCTATTCATAAGAAATTCCTATAAAGATAACATCATGTTTTCACACATAGGTATACATTTGTCTCAAAACACTTTCAGGGGAAAAAGACTTTTTATTCAGAGTACAAGAGAAACATTTTGCTAAATATGCATAATGATCTTTATCATAATGATACTTTTGATAAGAAAGGGGTTCCCTAAGGGAATCTTGTATAAAAATCCACTTCACACACATTTATTATTGTTTCTTGGTAGGAACTTTTGTCAGTCACTGTGCCTCAAAATTTCTTCAGTACATTGTCACAATTCTTTCCTCAAATGGTTTGAATGTATCAATCCTACAAGCGTTTTTCTTCCACTTTAGGCTGAGCAAGCTGCAGATGGAGAAAATTCGGACAGGAACTTAAACCACAGGCTAGAGTTATGGCAGCGGGAATATCAGACCAATCGAAGGTGGGAAAGGGAGTTTATTTAGAAAGAACACCCTAATTGCTAAGTTTGTGATGTATAAAAATACCACAGAAGCTAAGGAGGATTTTTATTGTATTATCTGAAATATGACATTATAATTTTACTTTTTTCTTTGTAATCTCAACCATAATTCTGTAATCAAGACCATAGCTCTGTTGTGCATCTCCGTTGTTTTAAGCTTACCTAATGTTTAAATTTGATTTAAACCAATTAAACAGTTACAGAGCATGCTGCTGTCATGGAAGCACAAATACAAATAAATCAAGGCACAAGACAAGCCTTTTCAGTTGTTTGCAGCTCAAGGTAAATGTGGAGATCCTCAAAAACTGTCTGTGTTTCTCACAAAATTGCACGTTTCTTGGTGATGGCATTAAGTCTCAGGGCATGCAGAGGCAGGCAAGGGAATTGCTGACCACAGCCCCAGAGGAAACTGTCATGGATATTTGCCTGGATCCAAGCAGGAATCAGAGCCAGAGTTGTGACAGAGGTGCTTCAATGGACCACATAACACTATGATTCTGTTTTCAACTTGCATCAAGGTTACTCACAGCTCTGCTTGTCTGCTGTGGAAATTAAAATCCAACTCCTTAAGCTCCTGCAAAAACAGTCTTACTGCTTTCTCATTAGTTTTACTACCCCTGAGTTACAGTGTTTTAGTGTGTGGCAGCTATGTCACTTGAAAACACAGAGTCACTGGTCTTATAGCAATCAGCCTTTCAGCTTCTTCCTTGCAATATTTTTGTCCAGAGCTCCCTTGCTGGCTCCCATCAATATCTTCTTTCTTAGTGTGATTGAAATTCATGCTGTAACACCGTCAATTTCACTTTTACATTTAAACCCCATTGAAATGGATAATGGCAATACCAGAACTGTAAAAGACATCAGTGCTTTTAGCCCTGCTAGGCAATCGCACTGGAGAACGAATGCTGCAATGTCAGGCAGCTCTTATGTATTACAATAGTCCAAAACCCTCCAGGGCCCTCATCTGCAGCAAAACAGATTTTCTATCAAAACCATTATGTGAATAAAATGTAAGAATAGTCTTCTATTTCAGAGAAG